ATTCGGTACGTAGGCAGGCTTCTCATAAGCTGGTGTCAGGTGAAAATCTGAACTAATTAGAACAGCGTGAAAAACTTAGTATCCAGAATGTGAACGGTGGAATCCGTTATGGAGAACGCTGTGATAGGACAAAAGACCTCGCTCCGAGCATTAGATCTCGACATGGGGACAAACCAGGGTATATTGGCCTTGTCGGCTCGACGCGAGGCCCGTGGGCTTTTCTCCAATTTGACAATTTCCTTGGGCTTAGTGCATCGGCTGTTGGCACATTAAACCGAATACAATCAAACGATCTAGGCACAAGATAGTCTAAAAATATTCATACAGACTACCTCAACTGTACTACATGCTCTATACCTCACTTTGCCGTTGTATTTTTAGATAGTGGTATGGACTAATAGATGGGAAACCATTTTGACTCCCTGAATTATGTGATACACATATAGTTTATGATAAGGCAGTCTCAAAGAACAGTGATGAGGAGTCTCTCAATCGCAATCCCACACCTCCTCACAGTGTTCTCGTCACACACGAATATCGTGTCACTTGATGACGCTGCCATCTTGACTACAGCATGTATGGAAGATAATTTATGTCAACCCATAACTAAGCGATATGCAGGCTATCCGTGGACAATCACGGGTTTAAGCTTCGACAATAGACTACACTGTAACATACACAAAGTGGCTAGTATAACTATGGCTCTTATATGGCTCTTGTATCAATTAACTACGCACGGGCCATTTGCCTATCCACATATGCCAAGGCCCGCGATTTTACATTCGACAACGATCTTTATTCGTGCGGCGCATAAGAAACAGTACTCACGTACTGGTAGCTTACCCGGTATCGAGACACCAGATGCGGAGACACAAGGCTTCTACCGGGATCGAATTGGAGTCAACGAGATATTAAAAAAAAATCCACATCGACTATCTATGAGACTACCACAGTGCTGAGTCAAGATAGGACTGAAATTTCTACCTAAATGGGCCTGACTCGAGTATAGTTACACCCTCACAGAAGTGACAGATAAGGTAGGGCCGGTAGTAGAGAAAATTTAGTATACTGATGAAAGGGTACGGATTAAGCAACTAGGTATAAATTTCTCAGTCAAAGAGAAGACTCTGTATTAAGAATGTAATGCTCGCTTGAATAACGCTTATCCCGAATCATGCAAATACACCATACTGGCCACACCAGTATATGCCCAATTGAAATGAAATCACATCAAAACCAATCAATGTTCCCAGAAGGGTATCACGCCAGCAATATGTCCTCTTGAAAAATCAGTCAAGGACGTCTTCCAAAAAGAAAAGAAAAAGACAATATATCAAGATCAAGAAAAGATACCCAAGGGCAGTGTCATGGCCACTTCAAAGTTGGGCACGTTGACCACTTCGGCAATATGCAAGTCACCAGCAACACTAGCGAGAATGTATGCCTCGCTGCGAGTAAGACCCTTAGTCTGCACCAACCACTGTATAAGATTCCGAGTAGCATTTCTGGTAGCCTCGTATAGGTCAGGGGCAATACCGAGAGCGCCGTAGGTTCCAAGGTCGGGAAGGGGGTTCGGTATTTGGGCGAGGGGAGGAGTCTGGAATTGGGGAGCAGTCATCCAGGGCTGGTTCTTGAGGAGCTCAAAGCGGAGGGTAGCACGGACCGGGGTTTCGATGGCGGTGCCGCAGACCTCGCCATGGCCTTGTGCAGCGTGGCCATCGCCACAGCTGAAGAGGGCGCCGGCAGTTTGTACGGGGAGGAAGACGGTGGAGCCGACGCTGAGCTCTCGACAGTCCATGTTTCCGCCGGCGTTTGTGGGCGGCACGGTGGAGAGTTCTTCATCGTTTGCTGGGGCGAGACCCATGCATCCGAGGAAGGGACGCAGGGGGATCCGCATGTTCTTGAATTGGGCGAAGCCTGCTTCGCGGTTCAGCTCCCAGATCTTGATCTCGGGCTCTGAAAACTCGTCTGCCAGCAGACCGAAGCCTGGGATGATGGCGGACCAGCCCCAGTCGGCAACCTGAAGGTCCAAGACTTCCACTTTGAGGACATCGCCGGGTTGGGCGTCCTTCATATAGATCGGGCCGAAGACGGGGTTGACCCGGTTGAGATCCAATGTCTTGATGGCTGAGGCCTTGGATGACGTGTCGAGTTGGCCATTGCTACTGTCGATAGCATCGAAAGAGACGGTCTCGCCGGAGGAGACGGTGAGCTTAGGGGTGTTTCCACGAGACCACTTTTGGTGGCTACATTCTCTTCCCACATGGAAGTTACTCCATTCTTTTGGTGCCATGTCGAATATTTGAGGGTTCCCAGGGTTCTGTTAGGGATCGTTGAAGAGAGACAATATATGGAAAGAAAAGGTATGAATATAGTAACGGAAATGGAAAAAAATTAGACCAGAAGGGGAAGGGAAAAAAATTGGTGGAACATAAGGGCGATTTTGTATCAAACGAGTTCGGGAGATCCTCTGCAGGGTTGACCGTTCTGGAAGGTGGCTAGAGGCCGGATCTTATGCTTCTTTTGCTTGCTCCACCCGGACACTGAATCGCCTGCCTAAAGTGGTTTGACGGTACCGTTCCCCCCTGTTGGTGGCTCTGGGTTTTCAACAGTAGATCTATTGGACTATAAAGAATCCCGAGGTTTGGTTGGATAACAAAGTAAACTTGCTAGCGATAAGCAGACAACCTTGTAGGGCGGGGGAGGTTACCGATTGTAGTATGTTATAGTGTTAGTTTGGATGTAACTATGTTGTATACAATATAATAAAATTAAAATTGCATCATTTACAAAAAAAGGAATAGCTGTGGTGAACCCTTCCCTGAACTTCCTACAACATCGATTTCTTATATAAATAGCGCCACAATTGAATTAATTGGTATACATTTCTCCTTTTTTCCCCCACTCCTCTCTTTTCACTTAGGCTCGGACCAAGAGATGCAAAGTAGAAATAGTTAAAAAGGATTTTTTAAACATTTTAATTTTTAATTGTGTTAATTTTTTTTTTAAAAAAAGAAAAATTCCAAATTGGCCCAAAAAAGGTCCAACACCACCTTCTTCATTGGGTAAGGAGCGAACCGTTGGTAGGCTGTGAGTGGCACAGCTGCATAACATTTTGCAAGTGGAACTTTGGTCTTTACTATGTTGTATAAACCCCTACAATAGTACCTATATAGAGAGATAGAGAGATAGAGATATAGAGTATATCTGGTGTAGCATGGATATATAATTTAGATCTCAAGATTCCTGTCCATCCAACATCGCTACAATACACGTTGCATTATCACTGTGAGGTCTGTTAGCACTATTGGTGGCGATTTCTTGTGCAATTTCATTTGCTCGTTTTCCCCGCATCGATAATTTCATCACGTGCTGAACCAGGTTCGTATCGTCCACTCGATCGGTAACTCCGTCGGACAACACTAGCAGCAGGTAACGGCGGTCTGTGTGTAAGGTGCGTCGTGTGGTGTAAGGATCATTGGATAGGAAGTTGCCCCGAGATTCCGATCGGCTGGTAGCTGACGAGGCCGGGTCTGACACGGAGCTGTCCATCAAGGTATTTACCGGATTCTTGTACTGCAGGTCGCCCAATGCTCGCGACATATTCAAGGACCCTGTCCTTCAAGCATCAGTATTCAATTTGGAAGGTCATTCTCCTTTTGTTAACTCACCAAGACGCTCTGTCCCGCTGCGGTTGTTGACTACTCCGCCTGCCTGCTCAATTCGGGTCTTTTCGCTGGGAATGGAGGGTTTGTGAGCCTGTGTGAGACGTCGCTGGCGTGTGGCTGTTAGCATTTACCCTCAACCCAACCCAAACCAACAACAGTGACAGCAGCGCGTACAATATGATACGGATGCTCTGTTTTCAGGTCCCGCTCGGCTAGGATAACATGCGAATCACCCAGATTGGAGACCATCAACTCGCCCTTAGTGAGATTAAGGCAACAGATTGCCACCGTCGACCCTGAAACGGCAGGCTCGGCAGATTCATGCTCAAACCTATCCAACAGAATGCTGTCTTCTTCCGCCAGTGCTGCCTTGATAGCCGTGGCCCAATCGTCTTGCTGGAACTCTGGGCGCCGTGCGAGCAGGTGGTGCAGACTTTTATGGACTTGGTCTGAAACCAATCCCGAACCACTGGAGATCTTGGTCAGTTCAAGTCTAGTCTAAAGGACGCATTTCGAGGCTTTCCTTACTGCCCATCATATATTGCGAAGAATGCAACTTTGTCCTCTATGTTTGAAGGAAACTGGTTCGGAAAAATCACTGTACACCGATCCTCTTGATGCTTCCTACCACCCTGGGACTGCCATTTGATTTTAGGTAAGTATGATCGCTGTGCGAGGGCCATGCGCCATGACACTCACTTGACCAGCCCCAGCATCAAAGAGCGTGATTGCGTCTGAGGTAGACATTGTCTTGCGGAACATTTGGTTCCTCATAGCTCTGTGAGACACAACCATGCTTGGCAGTTGATGCGTAAAGGATCAATCTCTCGTAAGGGCATAGAGGGCATAGAGGGCATAGAGGGTATAGACAAGCCCTGGAGGTTCTGTCACGATATCTGTGGAGGAGGAGGATGATGATGCACTGACATCATGAACGCCCTCTGATTTTGACTGATACGAGGTTGTTTACCGATATGCAATTGGTGGCTTTCAATGGCTTCCCCGGAGTTCATTCCTTCCCCAGACAGCCCTGGAGATTTGCCAGCAAATGTCTGATATTTTGACAGCCGGCAATGGTTATCCCCCCCCTCCTCAGCACTTGGGATAGATGGTGTAGTAAATCCTCTTCTTTTAGATATCTCACTTGGATGAGTCTACCAAAACCATTGAAATATGCTTTACCCAAATAGTATTTAAGCTTCTAGCAAATAGAGATCTTCCATCGCGCGCACGGGCCAATTTACTCGGCGAATCTGCAAGATCATGATTCTAATCAGGAACACCCTCGAACTCACTTTTCTCACTTTCCAAGCATTTCAGACTTAGTTCAGCATGGGCTGGGTAGGCGCGGGTGTACTAATAGCAACAATAGGCTACTTTCTCTACCGCTACCCTCCTCGCAACTGGGTCGAACCTCCTTCTTTTGCCCCTCCGGAACCCAAACCCGGCGCGCCGGTTGCCGCCGACACCACAGACGAGCCCGTGCAACAGAAGCCTGGCCCACGGGTCTCGACGCCAGCAATAGAGACAGAGGAGGAGGATTCCCAAACCACACCCAAGGCTTCGGCGTCGAGCGCACCACTCCCCGTCCTTGCGGTCCCCACATTCAGCCTAGACAGCGGCGAGAGCAAGACATCACAGCCCGCCACGATGCCGTCCATTTCACAGCCCATGAATGGAGCAACAGAGCAAGCATCTTCGACAAACCGTGATCATGGCGCGCCAAAGACTCAACCGCCACCGCAGCCATCCCTCGCACCCCCTCCGAAACCTCAACCGTCACCTATACCGCCGAAGGCAACAGCCACCGGCGCCTCTTCCCTAATGCCTCCTCCCCCAGTGCCACGGCCGCGACCAGCAACACAAGCGAACCGTCTCACCCCCACGAGCACGCTCCAACCCCCGCGGCTCAGTGGCAGCTCCCTTGGCCCACCACCATCAGCAGCCGCCTCTCAGCGCGGCCTGGGCCCACCGAGCAACGGCAGCCGTCTTAGCAACAGTACCCTCGCCCCGACACAAGTGTCTCTGAAGAAATCCTCACGCAAAGTGGTTCTCCAGCCAGGATTCTCTCCCCTTGACTGGGCAGCGCTAACTGCGAACCCGAAGAACAACCTCCGCGGCGAAGGCCTTCCCCCAGGCCTTTTGCGGGTCACACCATCAATGCTAAAGGAGTACCATGGGCGTAAGGGCCGTGATGCCTGGACTTCGTACAATGGAAAGGTGTACAACATCTCTCCCTACGCCCCTTACCATCCAGGTGGGAAGGGTGAGCTCCTTCGTGGCGCGGGGAAGGACTCTGCACAGCTATTCCAGGAAGTTCACCCGTGGGTCAACTGGGAAGGAATCCTTGGCGAGTGTCTGATCGGAATTCTAGTTTCGGAGCATGATATCCAGACTGAGAATGCTCTGGATGCGATGGACTAATACTTGATTCACTTTTTGGTCGTTGTTTTACCTTGCTGTAATTGTTCAGCCGGTTTGTATACAGTGTACATCTTGAACCACATAGAAATGAGATACCCTGCTGCTATATTATACAACAACTCCCATTCGAAAAGGTATATATATATATTTGTTCTCGGCCGGATATCATGGCCTAGTCATCAGAACTCCTCCCGGGAGAGAGTTACGTAGATAGGTATCAAACACCGCTAATTCAAAGCTCATCCTTCACACCGTCAATACCGACCAACTCGGTCTCGAACACCAACGTCGCACCACCGGGGATAGGGCCAACACCGCGGTCGCCGTAGCCGAACTCGGGCGGGATAGTCAGCGTGCGCTTCTCGCCAATGCACATGTCAAGCAAGCCCTGGTCCCATCTGTATCCAACGAACACACCAATTAGCTTCTAGCTTCCACGTGAATAACCAAGATAATGGGGATGGGGATGTTTGTATGCAATTCCACGATTGACATCTTCAAACAGCCCCCCACCGGATAGCTTCCAACTCACCCCTTGATGACACGACCGGTACCCAGCTTGAAAGTCAAAGGCGCGTTGCGCTTGTAGCTGGAATCGAACTCGGATCCGTCGGACTGCAAAGTGCCGCGGTAGTGCATGGCAACTCCGTCGCCCTTGATGGTCTTGCGGGTGCATTCGACGGCGTGGGTTACTTCGATGCCGAGGTCGGCGGCGGCCGCGAGGGAGCCCAGGGCTGCGACGAGAATGGAGGTGAGACGCATTGTGTGTTTATGGGGATGGATTGGAGGGGAATTGGAGAAAGGTAAGGAGTTTGGGTGTGGACAGATGGGCGGAGATGGGACCGAGGTTTAGCGTTGGTCTGTGCTTTAAGCTTCAAGCCAAGGTTTACGTATGGTTGTGCTTATTTTCTATATTTTACCATGTCTCTAGGACTAGGTGGCTATCTGGCATCTAGTAAAGATACTAAATACTTGTATACTTTGAGGCATTTGAAGATTTCGTGTATTGATTACGATTATGTGGATATCCCATCGTGGCTCTACCTCAACAATCGAGGTCCGAGCAACTGTTGGTTTTGAGTTCATCTGGGACCATACCCATTGCTGGTCTTCGGCCATTCACCGTCTAGGTCGCGAGTGTATCATCACCATTAGGAAGACCCCGGGCCATGACCTGATCGGCAGTCGCCTTCAAATCATCCTCGCCCATATCGCCATCCCAGCCGTTTGAAACAAGATAAGCACGGAACTTCTCATCGCGCACCCTCAAGTCTTCACCCGTCAAATCAGGCACAAAGAAGAAAGTAACCAAGATTCCAACGACGCCACAAATAGCAGCAATAATGAAAGTCCACTTGTTCCCCAGACGATCCTTGATAGGTTGAAACGCCTGCGTACCGATAGCAGCACCCGCCTTCCCAATAGCCGCAGAGAGCCCGTAACAAGTCCCACGAACACCGGTAGCGTACGACTCAGACGAAATCAACCCGAGCATATTTCCCGGACCGAAATTGCCAGAGCTCTGCATCAGACCATAGAAGACGACGAAGAGAGGCACGATTTTGGTAATGCGGTCGTAGGCGCAACCGATGATTAGGCCAAAGATCAGGTATCCGCTGAAGCCAATCATCATGATGGGCTTGCGGCCAAGACGGTCGCAGAGAAGGGCTCCGAGGAAAACACCCGGCAGCGCGATTGCACCGAGGAGAAGCTGCCATTCGCCTGTTTTCAGGATTGTGCCGTCGTGTACGACCGAGGAGATGATTGTACCGGAGAAGACGCCGTTAGGGAAAGTGACAAAGTCTGAACATATTAGTTTCTGTGCCTCAGCAAGTACTTGGGGGGAAGGAGCTCTCTTACCGTAGAGGAACCAAGCACCGCAAGTGCCAATCAATGCTTTCCAGTAATACCGTAGCACGAGCATGTAAGGGACGTGCTTCTTGATCGCTCCGCGTCGGTACAAGACTGAGTTCAGCATGCGGATTCGGAGGTAGAATATCAAGAGCGGCCAGAAACATCCTATGCCAAAGCACACCCGCCACACGGTGCTGTAGTGGGATTGCTGACAGGCCATGAATACCATCAAGAAGATTGAAACCGCTAATGGGCCCCCGAACGACAAGGGGTAGTTGGTTACCATGATGAATGCCGGGCCACGGTACTCCGGGATTAGATCGTTTGCTGCTTCGGAGGCGGAAGTTGAAGAGGCCGGATACTCGCCGCCGGCGCCTGGAGCTAGTTAGTTAGCAGTGCAATCAAACCAGAATGATGTCTTTGTTGAAGGTTTACTTGCCGAACCCGACAACGCCACGGGCAATCGTCATCATCCAGAACATGCCATCGATGGTAACGCCATGCGAGGCTGTAGCGAGAATACCTCCGATGACAATCATAAGGGTTGTGAAGACGATGGCTCTCTTACGACCGAGATAGTCGCATGTCAGTCTGGTATAGCATCGTCAGTCGTCAGAACCTTTCCATAGCCCTAACTTTTAGTAGTGTGCTGTCCGTCCCTACCCAATAACAACCTGTCCAATGACTTCGCCGACGAGTAGAGCATTCGAAACGCGCGTGCTGACGGTGCTAGTGTACTCCTTAGGATATTCCTTTTTAAGGAGGACATTGGTCATGGTCCTGTGAGGTGTTCCGCGCGGTTAGACATAGTCATGTATGGAAGCAATCACTCGACCCACATCAAATTGTTTTGGTATCCATCGCTAACCAGGCCGAAGCCGCATGCAAACTATTGAAATGACATCCAGTTAGTCACCTTATCAGTTGCTGACTTGAACCGCGAGTGGGGGAAAAGCAAGATGATAACCTGGCATGTATAGACCAGGATGAGACACTCACAATAGTGAAGACGTCTGACAGACCCTGCTGCTTCAGCGATGTACCCGATGAATTAGCAGTGTCAACTTGGTTGATAGCGTCTTGAGTCGCAGCCTTGGATTCATCGCACCCAGGGAGTGCGGTCAAGTTTCGTGCTGACGCCATTTCGACAGCCCTTGAGAGATGGAGTTGGGAGAAATTTGGGTTGTGGTCCTTTCAGATAAGACTGGAGGGATCAAGGGTGTCAAACAAAACACCCCCTGGTAATCCGCTGCTGCTTATTTCACTTTCAACCTGTTGTACCGGGGAAGGCCCCTATCAGGAATCAGCCCTACGGTGGAAATGGTTAAGCGTACAATAAGAATTAAGCCAATAGCTTATCTACGGTTGGCTTTAACTAGAGTTGAGCTTGGTATGTCTCGTGGTGTCAAAGCACATGGGTTACATATGCGGAAATATTAAGATCGATCTTGCTGGGCCTACCAAGGTCTACAACTAGTATTTTTACCTATCTATTGATTTACTGTTTGATTGCCCTCAGTTGAATGGTTCTGATAGTTTTTCATTCATCGGCTTAAGTAGATAAACTCGTTAAAATAACGCCGAACATGAATATGGCTAAAACTAGCCCGGACCCCGTGGGTATCACAAATGCAGAAACGATTTTTGACCATAATAGAAATTTTTGGCAAAGCAAAGACATGAATCATTGGGAAGAATGTCCCCTGACTTTTAATTATCATCACGGCAGCAACAGAGATGTCTCTATGCCCATTTGCCCAGCAACGCCATGAGGGCAGCTCCGGCACAAAGAAGGAAGAAGGCAATCAGCACCTCGCGGATGGGAGCCTTGCGCATGGAGTGACTGAACATGAACTCATGCGCCATCAGCTCGACGAGGGCAGTGTAAATGAGAATTCCAGCGGAGATAGAGTCAAAGACACCGTTGACGATGAGTGTGGTTCGGCCGGTAGGCGGGTAGCTGTTTCGAACACCCAAGCCAATAGCAATAGCAATCGGAGTCGAGATTCCAAAGCCAAAGCCCAGGAGGTAGGGAGTGTTGCGCTTCGATTTGGGCCAGGGAATGGTAGCCAGACGAGAACCAAGACCAAGTCCTTCAAAGGTTTGGTGGAAGACAAGCACAATATAAAGGGTAGTGAACTCGGCACCAGACACTGCAAGAGTGAGACCAATGAAGACAGAGTGGAAGATGATACCGAACTCCAGGATGAAGATCGAAGTAAGCTGAGCGGCGTAGTCCTCAGCCGCTTGGATGTCAGTTTCGGAGTGGCTGTTATCGTGATGCTCACGGGTATGACCAAGGTGGTCCTCCCCTGGCATGTGACTCTTCGGCTCGTTGGTTTCGTTGGCAATAGAGTGGTCGTCGAGTTGGGTGTGGGTATTGCCTTCCTCATCGTGCAAATGGCCTTGGCCAAAGTGCGAGAAACGCATAACCATCAACTCCACAAAAAAGAGAACAATAACGGTCATGAGGATGATGCCCTCGACCCAACTGTATTCAGTAATTGGGCCGGTCAAGCACTCGTTTTTAAGTGCCTCCTCGGCGGGACCCAGCAGGTGAATGAAAGCAGTCGCAATGATCACACCGGATCCGAAGTACTTGGCGACGAAAAAGGCCCATTTGGGGAATCCACCGTTTTTGCTAAAGCGACGGGCGAAGACGGGGAACAGAGCACCAAACATGGAGCCAGCCATGATCACAAAGATGGAGGAAATCCGCAGGCCCATGCGGCCGTCGAACTCATTGCCGGATTCACAAGCATCCTCGCGCTTGAGGAGAGTGGAGTAAGATTCCATTCTGTAGAGGTGGGACAAAGGAACGTCCGTGGGAACCAATGAAGTGCACAGAATACTATAAGAGATGTAGACAAGGATGCCAAGTGTCCCAATTGAGGAGAGAAGAATTTGTGATTAAGGTAAGATGAGACAAATGAACTTTCAGGGGGGGTTGTGGGAGGCTAGTTGACCGCAATCCCCAAGGTCCTCAATGGTAGGCGAGATGCGTAGTTAGTCCACTAACCACGCATGAAATTATCAGGAGATCCTGACAATGTCGTGCTTTGTGGATACTGATTGAACAGAAGATAGCGAGAAGGAAATAAAAGGCTTCTTCTTCCCACTGCTCGTGTAAATAAGTCGCACTGTGA